CTCGCTCTCAGACAGAATGTAACATCACAACAGAAGCCTGGGACCAGCCCAGAGAAAGAAAAGCCTCCTGCAGATCTGAAGGGATCTCCCAAGGAACATCATGGTTGAGTCTCCAGAAATCTGATGCCTGGCCAGCACTCCAGCCACCAGTGAAATCAAAAGTAATCTACACTGCACTGCCTACAAACTCCCAGCATGAACGAGGTGTGTGTGTGTGTGAGTATCACTTTACTCTTAAGAATCTGTACCAATAAACAACCCCAAAAGCAGTGGGCTCCAGCCCACCCTTTGTCCGGGTCTGTTCCTCAGCAGGTCTGAGGAAGTGCAACAGTGGAACAATCATCAGCTCAGGGTGTTTGAAGTTCATTGCACTTTGTCATTACATTCATCCTGTATAATGGAGTTTTCCATTTTGACCTAAGGAAGATTAATATCGAGAAGAAAAGTCAGAGATGCAATGTGTGATTCTGAACCCCATATTCTTCATAATGATATTTAAGGTATGATTATGGCATAATTATGATGCATTTTATGCAAGATGGGTCATTGCAAAAGTTATGATTTGTTGAATATGATTATCCTACTTTGTGATATACCATCTTTGTAAATGAAGTTATGTATATTGTTTTAGATCTGTTATGCATCTGAACCTGTTTTTCAATGCATTCACACCTGGGTAAAGTCCACTAAATAAAATGCTTTCAGTATAAAATGGTGGGAAGGGAAGGGCCCTTCATGGCAGTAGACCATTAGAGAAAAATATGCCTTAGGAGAAGCTTATCTTCCACCTGGTGATGAGCTTTCCTTGAACGCTCACGACAACCTGTAAGTAACGGCTGCTATGATTTTACAAGGACGCGTGAACAGGTTGCAGGATGCTGGACGTCATCTTACGATTGCAATGTTTTTCCACATACTGGTCTAGAAGCCAAGCTTTGAAACGAGTTCCTGCTATATGCAAAAACTGTATAAGGCAAGAAATGACATCAGCTGGGGTTCTTCACTCCCCACCCAAGAAGATAGAAAACTTGAGGAAAAAACCTAAGGAACAAAACCTGGACTGGGAGAAGCTCTGGACTCAGGCTAAGGGGTTTTTAGGCTGTGAATGAAACACCTGGAGAGTCTAAATTCTAAAACAAGTACTGCCTGTCCCTTAAGAATCTACAAACTGCTTAGGGTGTGAATCTGCTATTCATATCCAATCTATTAAGTATATTAAGCTTATTTTGCATTTTTTGTTTATTTGCTAGGTAGCCTGCTTTGATCTGTTTGCTATTATGTATAATCACCTAAAATCTATCTTTTGTAGTTAATAAAGTTGTTTTTGCTTTGTCTAAACTAGTCAGTTGGAGTGAAGTGTATGGGGATCTTAACTCCGGGGTCAAAGGCTGTTGCATATTCCTTCCTACATTGAGGGAGGGGATGAATTTGAGTATACACAGTACAGTTTCCTGTACAGTGCAAGATAGCAAAATTGTGGATTCATACTCTAAAGGGGTGTGTGCCTGAGGAGCTGGTAGTCACCCTAGTGATAGCCTTCCTATACATGGACTGGTCAGTGCGCATGCATGTAATTGCAATTGGGCGAATCCCTACCTTTATGTATGTTTGTGAAAGTGCAGGCTGGGGGCTTTGCAGCTTGTCAGAGAAGTACAATGTTGGAGGGCTCAGCAGTACCCCACTTTCAGGTGGCACATCACAATATGTAACCCATCACAATATGTAAAAGAAAATATATGTAACAAATAGCTTACATTTAGAATAGTACTTTACATGGACTTATGAATTGGCAAAATGCCTTAAGCTTATGTTTACACGGCAGGTTATTTTCAGATTCTTTTTTCAGAAGAGGCTTTTTCAGATTATTTTTTCAGAAGAGGCTTTGCCAACATTTGGCCTGTCTACACAGGGCAAAATTTGGGAAAAACCTCCTCTTTCAGAAGAGCCTTTATTCCTCATAAAATGAAGAATATAGGGCTTCTGAAAGAGCATGCCTGAATTTTGGGCAACTGATCCGAAAAAGTGGATGCATTCCCTGGACGCAGCACTCTGTAGTGTAGACATAGTGTTAGACTCTGGGCCTGAGCTTCATTTACTCTAAGGTCTTAGCATGGTAAGGGAGATTTAATACAGTGTAAAGAACTTTACTATAAATGAGAAGCAGGCTGTCTATCATACTAATAGATACTAAAGTGTATCTATTTCTGGGATGCAAACCAAGCAACCATACTACCTTCAGCAGCACTTTCCTCTATGGTCCAAAATTTCTTTTTCCTAAGTTCAGAACTGTATTTATGGGCATATCTATGGAGATTTGCCATATTAATTCTAAACTAGTGCAAAAAGCATTGCTAGATTAAAGGATCAGAGACCGTTTTAAATTTCAATAACTCATATACGATCAGTGCTAGAAATTAATACTGTATATCATAGGCAAGTTTTTTTCCAGAGTTATATATCATGTGTATCTAGCGCTAGCAAGTCACAGAACATTGGAACTTGAAATCATATTATTCAGGCTACTTGTTTGTTTTTTCCACCCCGTTATTTCATTATCAGCTACATCGAATATTGCAAGAGCTAAAATCTGAAACTGGGGTTGTATACATCTGAAACCTTTACCCTATCATTCAAATGTTATACAGCACAACCCATTGACTGAAAGGCCAAACTCCCACTGATTTTGAAGGAAGAAAAATAACATCAATAAAGCATTAACCATATTACATGTCCACCAGCTACTTTCTATTAAAATCATATCAAAATGTAACTGCAGAAAACAGTCAAATGGTAATAAGAATAATCTGATTTTAAGGCTGGATATTTCAAACTACCAGATATTGACATACTGTATGAACATCTCTGATTACTGCTCCTAGACTAGTGACCAGAAAGGAAAAAGGTTAGATTTCTGGAAAACAGATGACAGGGAAAGCAAATAGTTTAAGGCTGTAAAGCTGGTTATTAAAGGGGCTCTGTGTCAATTAGAGATTAAAAGAAACATAAAAAGCTAGAATCCAATAAGGAAATTTACAGGCAGTATCAGATGGAAGGCAATTGACAAGTACCTTTCCTGATTCCTGGAGTTCCTGAAGCTGTGACTAGAACCACCTCTGGTAACGTATTATTTTTTTAAAGTTCAAATTAACAACATAGGTGGTTTAAAATTAATCAAAATAACATTAAACATCAAACATGTTTCTACATGAAAACATCATAAACATCAACATTTTCTACATGAAATTCATTCAGCAATTATATTAAACTTGTAATATACAACCCTATTCACTTCATAAAGAGAGGCTATTTTGGTTTTTAACTTCAAAAAGGGAAGACTCTGATTCTCTTCTATGAGGAGGAAAACTACAATTATGTGCAAAAGTGGCAACAGTAGCATGCTATATAATATCTGACAGCAATAAGAAAGCACAAAGAAAGCACAGAGAAAGGAGGAAAACAGAAAATTGTATTTGCAAAAGGGAAACAGATATGCTTTTTGTATAAGTGGATTTTCTACTGCTCTTTACTTTTGTGCCACAGAATAGCAGCTCTGTATTTGCAAATTGTGTCAACAAATATTAAAAAGATTTAAATAAAAGAAGTGCACTGAATGGCATGTAGATTTTACAAAACTGCACAACACTAACAACTAGAATACTATAATAGATAGAGCCACAGTATGTATTAGAATGTAAATGGGTAACTGGTTTACCAGATACCTGGTAAGTATCACCCTAACTGGGTTAACTGTCAATACGGGCAGGCAGGAATAGCCCCCACCTAATGCACAGTGTAGTAGGCCCTGCCTGAGAAGTCCCCCACAGTGTGGTGGGACCAGCCCAAGCAGCCCCCACCCATAGCACAATGGGCTGCGTCTGGCCTGATCAGAGCAGCCTGTGGCATGGTGGGTACAGCTGGGCTGGAGTAGCCCCCTCAACCGCACCACGTGGCAGACAGGGGGCTGCACCAGTCTGGCCGGCCTGCCACGCCATGCTATGGGTGGGCAGCCACTCCAGCCCCCCATCTGGAGGATCCCCGTTAATCGGAATGTTTTAACATTCTGTTTACCTTGTTAACTTTTTAACTGGAATTTTACATCCCTAGTATGTACACTAAATATTAGCAATTCTGTCTGTTTTATCCATTTGTACCACCCATAAGCATTTCACATGATATGTTCTAGACATACAGGAAGAGAGACAAGATGTGATGGTTGTGCTTTAATTAGGCTATAACTTGGTTAACTTAATTCATCTGGGAACTATCCTGTAAAATCCTATACAATGCAGTTCATGATTCCTTCCTTACTCATTCCCATCTGACAGAAGGCTCCCATCCTCCTTCCACAGGAGTTCCCCAGCCAGCTGCTGGGACCTCATCACTTTTCCCTCATATATGGGTTAAGGGGCTATCTTCTCATCATACCCAGACATTAGGAGCTTCATAATGTTCAACTACAGTTAATCAAGACACCTACCACAACGAGATGCCAATAATTAGCTTGGCTGCTTTCTTCCTCACCCTCAGCTAGTTTTCCAAACAGTTAACATTTCTGTCCCTAGCTTCAGCCAAAAATATATCCACTCCCCAGTAAGAGAGGTGTATCCCATTCTCCCTAAACATGGGGGCTCCTGTTGGAAGGATTGGGTGTACATGGTCTCCACTGGGTGCACTGGGACCAGTATTTTACCTGCCCAACTGTTCCATTGATGCCTTCCTTGCCTCTCTCCCAATCCTCAAGGAGAGGGAATCCCTAAAGGAGCCAGTACTCCTTTTTGCGCCTCTGAGTCCAGACAAAGACCATCCTGTCTTTAAGGTTGTAAAGATTGCAATGTGACTTGCAAAACAGAACCATAAATATCAAGAACAAAGTTTTTTCAATAGAAGCTCTTTATTCTTAACAGATTTTCCTGGAATATTTACAATGATCCTTAATACTATATGCAGAGTCCAGATTTTTCTGAAATAGTTATTAAATTAATATTTAATAGTACACTTACTTGTTTTACAGATGTAAGCATTTTGTCCTCTATATTCTGTTCTGGTTTAATGATGTGATACACAGAGCTTTTACTATCACTTACTGATAGCATGCTTTGA